CCAGAGGTTAGAGGGGAAGGCACAGAGAGTTAGGAGCTGATTGAATGTTCATGGGGAATCAGGGGCGGAGGGGAGGAGTGTGCTGTCGCAGAATGGGGTGAGCGGTTGGAGTCTCATAACAATGTATGTTAAAAAAAAAACTGTATGGGAGACTAACTTGAAATGTAAACTTCATTTAATTACATCAATAAAAATAAAAAATAAAACAAAACCTAGACTATCAAAAATAAATAAATAAAACTTAGACTATCAAAAACAAAAAGCCAAATAAAAACTAGGTATTTTTTAGAAGATGAGTAATAGGATCAGTTAGTAAAACAAGCAGTTAAGTAATTGAGTACAGGCATACCTCATTTTATCGTGCTTCGCGTTATTGTGCTTCGCAGATAGATTGCATTTTTTGCAAATTGAAGGTTTGTGGCAACCCTGCATCGAGCAAGTCTGTCAGCACCATTTTTCCAATAGCATGTGCTCACTTCGTGTCTCTGTGTCCCATTTTGGTAATTCTCGCAATATTTCAAACTTTTTCTTTAAAAAGTGATCTGTGATCAGTGATCTTTGATGTTACTTTTGTAATTGTTTTGGGGTGCCACAAACCATGCAGGTCTGCCCTTTGCTATTTAGTTCCCTAGCCCAAGGCACTGATACCCGGGTGTGAGGGGGCCTGAAAGACTTTTTTTTTTTTAAGTAGCAGCTGAAGTCAGTACAGCTCTGCAGTCAGACAGTCTAGCAGCCAGAGGTCAGAGGCTTCCCCCATGGCAGAGCCAGGAGAAGCTCAGGAGAAAGCAGGGGCATCATCAGGGCTTAGGGGTGTCCTCCTGAGGCCTCTGGCCCCATTTATTATTCATATGCCTCTAGTGGAGGTGGAAGGATTTTAACGCTTAACTAGGCGAAAATCCAGAGCCAGCCAGTGGGGCAGTGAGCCCTCAAAAAGGTTAAGAACATTCCTCCAACTGGACTTCCACCCTCTGCCTCTTTGTTCTCTAGTCCTTCTCCACCCTACCACCAGAGTTATCTTTTAAACACTTAACTTCGGTGTGATTAAACACCTCAGATGACTTCCCATCACCTATGAAACAAGTTAAAAACTCCTGGGCTTGGTGTCAAGGCTTTCCACAGTGAAGTTCTGGCTTAATCTGTCAGCCTTATCTTCAAGCGCCCCTCTCTCTTCACCTCCAAAGCTCTAGCCACAGCACCTTATTACTGTCTGTTTTGGAAGGACAGCTTCTGTGTCCATACCTCTATGCCTTTCATCATGCTATTCTCTCTCTTTAGGGTGCCGTTTCCTCTCCCTTGCCCAGTCATTCACCTCTTACTCATCCTTCAAGACCCAGATTGAAGGTTACCTCTTTCCCATGTCCATCCCTGATTTTGTGCTCTGAATCAGTCTCTCTTGGCTAGGTTCCAAAAACATTTAATACATATCTCTGATTGTTGTTGTTGTTAGGTGCCATCAAGTCAGTTCCAACTCATAGTGACCCTGTGTACAACAGAACGAAACACTGCCGGGTCCTGGGCCATCCTCACAATTGTTGCTATGTTTGTGCCCATCATTGCAGCCACTGTGTCAGTCTGTCTCATTGAGGGTCTTCCTCTTTTTCGCTGACCCTCTGTTTTACCAAGCATGATGTCCTTCTCCAGGAATTGATCCCTCCTGATAACGTGTCCAAAGTATGTGAGACAAAGTCTTGCCATCCTTGCTTCTAAGGAGCGTTCTGGCTGTACTTTTTCCAAGACAGATTGGTTCATTCTTCTGGCAGTCCATGGTAGATTCAATATTCTTTGCCAACACCATAATTCAGAGGCATCAATTCTTCTTTAGTCTTCCTTATTCATGTGACGTATCTCTGATATGTTATATTATAAATAACCTACTTTTATTTCTGTCTTTTCTACTAAACCAGGAACGCCCTGCAGCTAGGGACTACCTTTTTCATCTTTGTATCCCTAACACCTAGCTTAGTGCCTGGTCCAAATAGGAGCTTAATATACCTTTGTTGAATAGAATTACTTATGAAGAGTTTTTGTGACTCATTTAAAATTATAGACCAATGCTTATTTAATAAGTCAGAATAGGCAATGATAATAAGAACAACCAAGTCCCATTTCCACTGCTTATTCAAGTAAGTACTTCCTTTGTGGAAGTGGATTTTGAAAATCTTCATGTATCGATATCTATATCTATATATCTGTATCTATATCTATCTAAGTTCTTTTCTTAGGGAAGGCTTTTTTTTCCCAGTGTATGTTTTTGATGTGCTTTCTTGAGCCTCTAAGAGAATTACAGTTCTAATGCAGACTAGAACTTCTGTGACATGCCTGTTGATATTATATCGAATAGATTCTGTCATTTCAGAAGTCTGTATTACACGTAATTATTTCCATGGACATGCATTTTCTCTCCTTTTCTTTAAGCTTTCATGGTAATAGTTTGTGAATTGTTCATTTTATAAACTTTGAGTCAACTTAATTCAAAACACATTAAATTGAGCATTTTCCATGTACAAAAACAGTTACATAGATAAGGCTCAAGTATTTATATATTATGTAGTTTGTTTTGCTAAATTTGCAAAATCCTCATCATTGCAATGTGTTTTTTAGGTATCCAGATTAATTCAGCTATGAAAGTAAACACTGTTCCATAAATTAAGAACTTCAAATAATTATTAGAAGTGATCTTCTTTCCCTCATTTTCTTTGAGTTTTGTAGTTCACTCACTTATTGAGTGCATTATGCTGGGTGTTTGCGATTCAGGGTTAATGAGGCAATACCTGCCCTTGAATAGTTTACAGTCAAATAGAAAAGAAAATATATAAACAAATAATTGCAATTTAAACCTTGGATAAGAAAAAGGAACTTCTCATCTGAGACCAAGGTTGAGATTGAGAATGATGTGTCTGCAGATAAATTTGTAGGTAGAGGAGCAAGGAACCAAAGGGAGTTCATGGCTGATAGTCTATTTTTTAAAAAATGTGTGAAGTAGGAACCAAGGTCATCTCTGAGAAATGGCATGAAGAGGCTCTTGAGAAGAATGGTAAAGACCTGGATAATTACCAAGGACAATAGGAAATGAGCTGACAAAGTAAAGGGTGAATGTACTATTGAGAAAGCGGTGAGAGTAGAACTGAAATTGAATAGCATGAAATTGTGGGGATATCCATCAGCTCAGTGGTGTAGTTTTCTCCAGTTGTGCTCTGTGGGCAATGCGTAGGTGCTGTAAAGTCATACTGTGTTGAAGGCTCATGGGATGGGTATAACAGAAGTATAGGAAGACCAAGGAGTTGAGAATCATTGAAAGAAAGTGTGGCTTAATATGGAAGGAAGTTTGGTTAGGAGGAGTTGATACAATTGGAGAAAGTGAAGAAGAAACTAGAGATGAGGATAGGGTCTGGTACTTCGTAGGTACTCAGCAAGTCATCATTTCCTCCTTTCTGGCTCTTTCTGTCTGTGCCTGTGTCACCACTATGCTCCTGTATGGTTTAGCTATATGAATACTTTCAAATCATGATGGTAGCAGTTATTTTGGAGGGGAAGTCGAGGAACCAGGTTTCAAAAGTCCTCATCAGATGTGTTTCAGTGGCTGGGATGCTGGCAGTACTTGGTGATTTCAGCCTCTAGGAGAAGCTCAAAGCTTATCCACTTACCTCTCTGCCACTTGGTTGAAAGAATGGGCAAAGGCTCTTTTTGGATCATGGTTCTTGGGGTGAGAATTTGCACTATGATGAGAAGGGTTAAGACTCTAAGCCTACAAGGGTTTCCATTAAGTTCCCCGTGTTTCTATAAGGCTAACTATAAGCGCAGAGCTCATTACTTTCAAGGACTTAAAAGGGAGTCCTTTCTTGAAATAAAGATAGAAGTAATGACCACGCTGGCAACCCAAAGGGCCTGCCTTCTCAGAATCTGAAGTTTCTGGTAGAGTTGTGATTTACTTTAAATATTAAAGCATTAAGTGTATATTATTTTAATTTTTCTTAAAGATATAGTTTTTAAGGTTTTCATCCCAAATAAGGACAAACCGTTTTCCATGGAAACACATGGTTTATATTACGTTTCCAGAAATTTTCTTTTTCACCTGTAGTTTTGAGTGTAACACTGAAATCTAGTAATTATTTCCCAGAGTGCTTTTTTTTGGTGTAGTATAAAGAAAAAACTCTTCAGAAAGGAGTCATACATCTTAACTATGAAACTGCTAGAAAGGTGAGGATTCCTAGAGTGAGTAAACAGAGACCACAGGTCATTATGATCTTAAGAAAAATGGAGTCAATGCTCGTGTGGAGTTGGCTAAAGAAATCCTGCGGTGTCTAGATCATCAGTCTTGCTGTTTTGCTGTTGTTAACAATACCTTTAAGGCATTTAGAAATACTTGCCTAGAAAATTATTGAGTACTACTCTTTTGACATTTCATCTTCATCTGTATTGCCCTGAGAAAGCATGTGCCTCACTTAGCATTAGTCACACAAAGTAAGATTATTAAACTTTATCCACAAAGTCTGTAATATCCATCTGGATTCTGTGGATTGTCCTATACCCATCCAACGCAGACATGACTAAGGTATGGTTTCTATAGCCTGCTGTATCATAATAGATTTGTTTTGGGTTAGATTTGCCTGAAACAGATCTTTTCCCCCAACCTTAAATTAAAGGATAATGAAAAATAAGTAATATTTCCTAGTTAGGTATTTAGATCAAAGAGATATTTTCAGAGTTAAAAGTGTTTATTCTAAATGATAGTTGAAGTATACTTCACAAAGACCTTTAATTGGCAGCATTTTCCCTCAAACATTAGTGCTGGTGTAGGAATTGTTTCTGGCTTTTCTATAAAGAAGAGCTTCAGTTGTTCTTGTTGTTCTGTTCATGGCACATAGATAGTAATATATGTTAAATAAAGGCGTTGATGTATTTTTCCTAAAATGCATATGAAGGGGAAAGAGAACTTTCCTTTAGATGTCTTACTGGGATTTTAGTTAGTTGATGTAAGACTGTTTTGTTTTCCTTTTTAGGTTGCAAACATGTTAAAGGCATCCTGTTATACGGGCCCCCAGGATGTGGTAAGACTCTTCTGGCTCGACAGATTGGCAAGATGTTAAATGCAAGAGAGCCCAAAGTGGTCAATGGACCAGAAATCCTTAACAAATATGTGGGAGAATCAGAGGCTAACATTCGTAAACTCTTCGCTGATGCTGAAGAGGAGCAAAGGAGGGTAATGTGAATATAATTATGATTTATAAGAGCTTGTTATTGCTTATATGATAAATGAAACCCAAATTTATGGTGGAAAACTTGTTACTGTGTTCTATATTTTGAAATGACTTGCTGGTAAAATTTATTTAGTACCTAGTTTATGTATGGCACTGAGCTAGAGATTATAGAGGATATACATGATGTGAGCAGATGTCATTACCCGTGCATTCATAATACAAAGGAGGATGATTGTATAAGCCAAAGGATTTGCAAACACAGATCATGACTATCTTTTTAGGTGACACTTCTATTCCACATTGCTTCCAGAGACTTGAACTCATTTATCCTTTGAAAAAAGGAGAAATTAAATCCATAAATAGACTTGCAGAATTATATGTATGTTAGGTCCACGTGCAGAAGGTTAGCATACTTAACGCTGAGTCAGCTCAGTTGTAGAATGACAGGATTGAGTTGCCAGGGGTGAAAGGAAAGCTTGATTTTGATCTTAGAAAAAATAAAATTAATTAAAAATCAAACCACAGTTTACTGATATTAACGTATTTCATTGACAGAAAATTTAAAAACAGTGCCATGGGATTTCTGGTTCTGGCAATACGGTAGACTAAGTAACTTGAAAAGCTTCCTTCTACAAACACCTTCAAATACTGGGTAAAATACAACTAAAATTATTTTAAATGCGTAGTTGAGCTCTCAAGAAAGAAAGGAAAATCTCTGGAAATGAAAAGAAAATTCTGAAAATTAGAGTAGTAAGGATGTGAGCTGAAGCTTTTGGCCTTGGTAACCTGTGGGTTTGAGTTGTAACACTCACTTGAGGGCAGTAAATGAATCCTTAAATCCACTTAAGGTGTGGACTAAGACATGCAACCTTCAAAGGGTTGTGCCCTCAGCAAAAAGAGTAGAAAATACCTGTCTGCCAGCACAGAGAAATAACAGAAACGTTTATCTGCCTGGGTTCTGGAGTGGGAGCTGGGGACACTCCCTTAGGGATTCTAAACCATGGATTCTTGACTCATGCTGGTTTTGGATTTGAGTACATATGACCTATGTGGCCTGTGACCCCCAAGTTGAGAAATTAATTAAGAAATTAGTCCTGCGCTAGGGATACCACAGGGTTGTCAGACATAAACAAACCCCAAGGGATGCTCCCACAATCCAGGCCAGAAGGGATTTGCACAGAAATTTTAGTGCACAAATGAAATAAAAAATGACAGAATACTGACTGTCACGTGTCCTTTTAGCAAAATGGGGTGGTCCAGTTTCTTTTCACAGAATATCGTGCAATGAAAACTTCCTGTTGTTTAAGTAACTGGATGAGAATGCCATTTTTCCTTTTTAATCTTTAGAAATATATCATCCACTCATCAGTTCTTGAGTTTGAGAAAATTCCTGTTGGATATCATCATCTGAAGTTACAGAATCTGAGCGTTTACTTATTTGATCAATTTCACCACCTTCATTAGGATCTCAAGTCCTGCTGTGTCTCTCTTTGCATTCATCTTCTGATTCATCTAGTGATTGTGAAGCATCTTTCTCTTTCACTTTTCTTTGCCATTATGGGTAGGAAATAAAATCTAAATTCTCAACCGTTCAATAAAAGCTAAAATCAGGCATTAGTGTCTCCAGACTTCTTGTATACTTGCTTGAAAGATGTTGCAATACTTTGGGCAACACAATAAAAAACTGAAAGATTATGTCATGGTGATGATTTATTTCACTATTGCATTATTCCTATAGGCAATTTCACCCTTCTTTCATTTTCCTATTATTTTAATCGTTTTTAGTGCAGTTGGAAATAAATGATGAGTGATGATGAAATCATTTCTAGGATGATGAAATAGCAAAATGTTTTAAGATGTAAGTAAAATAAGCTCACTAAGATCTTATAAAGGATCTTAGACTTATAAAACGGTCCAGTGGACTCAGATGGTAATTATAAGATAGAATGAGCTTTATTCTATTAAAAAATATATATTTTCCTTTTTGTTCTTTGGAAGACCTCTAAGAAATAATAAAAGTCATGAACTATCAATCCTTAAAAATAGGTCTGCTCTTAAAAAAAATCTAAAAACTAAAATTGGGTTTAGTGGACCTTGATGCTATACTGAGGATTAGATACTAAGCGCAGGTGGGTTAAAATGCCCTATAAAGAAACATTTTATATAATCTCAGTTGTGATGGTTTCGACATGGCTGCATAGATAACTTTGGTTCTGTTTTAAAACATGACACTCCAAAAAAAAACCAAACCCACTGCTGTTGTATGGATTCTGACTCATAGCGACCTGGTAGTGTTTCTAAGATTGTGAATCTTTACGGAAGCAGACTGCCACATCTTTCTCCCGAGGAGCCACTGGTGGTTTCGAGCCACTGATCTTTTTGCTAGCAGTTGAGCACTTTAACCACTGCACCACCAGGGCTCCTAAAATATGACACTGCTAATGATGAACCTTGGTTGGCCAAGAACTTCAAGGTAGATGTTAATCATAGCCAGTCTTTCCAGTTATACCTTTCTCAATCTTTATATCTTGAAAATGGCTTGACATACTCAGCTGATGACCCCATGGAGGGTATATGTGTGTTACATAATAAAGAAAAGCATTACCTCTGTGATTCTGGACAATCCAGGCTGACGGAGATGAACACTTGCATATAGGTCAAACTAGTTAAATATAGAACAGCTGCTTTCGAAGACTGTTGCCAGCAGCTCAATAACATCAGATCTGTTTTTGGGGGAAAAGTCTTTGCAGATGGTGAGAACAGAGCTAGAAACCAATGAATTGAAGAGGATTGTATGGTGGAGATTTAAACCCTTTGATAAAGAGTTTATTGGTGATTCAGCTGGATTAATCTGTGAACATTAATCTTGACATCTTCCTTACCTGATTACTAATTTGTTGGAATAAGCACTTGCCTTTATTTAAGTAACACACCTGTAAAAATTGTTGTTATTGCACTGACTAGGTTGGGGGGAGGGACCTGATGACAGGTCACAAGATTAGTAAGGTGCTGAAAAGGTCAAAATTGTACTGAATTGTGTTTAGGACAGATTGCCTCCGCGATCATTTAATGAAGCACAGTGTTCTTATTGTCTGTGGCTTCCCTGTGCAACTAGGTGATTTTTGAGGTTGGACTGAGAAGGAAGCTATAATTCCAGTGTCAACACAAGACACATTGACAGCAAAATTCTTACATTAATAGCAGCTTTTTGTTTCATGCCATATTGGGCAGGCAACCTTGAATAAAAATGTCCTTTAAAAATAATATTAAATCTCACAATTTTTCAGTCACTAACAGGACTGTCCATGTTTTGCACAGAAGATTGCAAAAAATTAATACCCTAGTACATAGAAGGAGCCCTGGTGGCACAGTGGTTAAGGAGCTCAGGCTGCTAACCAAGAGGTTGACAGTTCCAATCCACCAGGTGCTCCTTGGAAACTCTATGGGGCAGTTCTACTCTGTCCTATAGGGTCGTCATGAATCAGAATCAACTCGACAGCAACGGGTTTGGGTTTTGGGGCTTAGTACATAATGTGATTTGGCAAAGCTGAGATTGTAGTTCCAGTTCCTCATCCCCAGTTTTTTCTATAGATGGAAAGATGAAAAGTTTTTGGTGTTCAATTTTTTTTTTCAGCAGCAAGCTGCTATTTATCGTCAGACATAAATACAATGAAAGAAGTGAAGTTGATTTTTTTTTAAGATTATAGTTTTTAAAACATTTGTGGAAGGAAAACAGTTTCTAAGTAATGTTCAGGGGAAAAAAAATAAAGCCTAGTTAAATTTTAAGGAGCCCTGGTGGCATAGTAATTCAGAGCTCTGCTGTTTACTAAAAGGTTGGCAGTTCAAATCCACCAGCCACTGCTTGGAAACCCTATGGGGCAGTTCTACTCTGTCCTGTAGGGTCCCTATGAGTCAGAACTGACTTGACAGCACCTAACAACAACAGTTAAATTTTAGAAGTCCTGATGGACCTGTGACTATCATATTGTATAGAATTTCATTAAAGAATGGACACCAGTCCAAATATGAATAATAGAATTTAAGTATTATAAGATCTTCTATCTGGTTTTTTTTTTTTAAATTATAATGCAGTAAAATTGAGTTTTGTTCTCTTCGGGTGTACAGTTCTTTGAATTTTTACACACGTACAGATACATGTAGGAGCGCTGGTGGGACAATGGTTAAGCACTCAGCTGCTAACCGAAAGGTCAGTAGCTCAAACCCAACAGTGGCTCCGCAGAAGAAAAGACCTGGTAACCTGCTCCTGTAAAGATTATAGGCTAGAAGGGGGAATGAAGAAAACAAGACACAAGGGGAAGATTAGTCCAGAGGACTAATGGACCACAACTGCCATGGCCTCCCCAGACTGAGTCCAGTACAACTAGATGGTGCCCGGCTACCACCACTGACTGCTCTGACAGGAATCACAACAGAGGGTCCTGGATAGACCTGGAAAAAAATGTAGAACAAAATTCTAACCCACAAAAAAAGACCAGACTTACTGGCATGACAGAGACTGGAGAAACCCTGGCCCCTGGACACCCTTTTAGCTCAGTAATGAAGTCACTCCCGAGGTTCACCCTTCAGCCAAAGATTAGACAGGACCATAAAACAAAACAAGACTAATGGGGCACAACAACAGCCCAGGGACAAGGACTAGAAGGCAGGAGGGGACAGGAAAGCTGGTAATAGGGAACCCAGGGTCAAGAAGGGAGAGTGTTGACATGTCGTGGGGTTGTTAACCAGTGTCATAAAACAATATGTGTACTAACTTTAATGAGAAACTATTCTGTAAATGGTCATCTAAAGTAGAATAAAAAAAAATTTTAAAAAGATTACAGGCTAGGAAACCCTACAGGGCAGTTCTACTCTATCCTCTAGGGTTGTTATGAGTCAGAATCTACTTGATGGAACGCGACAACAACATAGATTCTTGTAACCACCACCAAAATTAAGGTACAGAACACTTACATCTCCTCAAAAAACTACCTCATGCTGCCTC